CTTTCTCTCTCCCTCTCTTCCTCCCTCTCCCCCTCCCTCTCCCTGCCCAAAGTCCAGACAGTAATGGAAAAATTCTCATGGCAAAATCCCCCAAGGACATTGCTTGTCCCCAGCATTACACAAAATGCGGCATGAAGAACTGGTTTGGCTGTGCAATCTTTTCTTCCTGATTCTTATTTTTTTTCTCTCCCCCCCCCTCCTATGCACATTTTGGTTCTGGCTTGTTTGTTTTCTTTAAATTGCTAGCAATGGGAAAACAAGAAGTCAATGCAGGTTAGAGTTGACAACATACTGGGGGAAGAATGAACCTAGGTTGGGGGCTGGTGGGGGAATGACAGGAATAGGTTTAAATCAAGGGATTCCTTCCCTAGGAAGAAAGAAAACATTTGGAATTAAACAAATTGTAATTCTTTCTTTTCTTTCTTTCTTTCTTTCTTTCTTTCTTTCTTTCTTTCTTTCTTTTTTCTTCCTTCCTTCCTTCCTTCCCCCCTCCCTCCTTCTTTCTTTCTTCCTTCCTTTTTTCTTTTTTCTTTTTCTTTCTTTCTTCCTTCTTTCAATCTTTCTTTCAATCTTTCTTTCTTCTTTTCTTTCCTTCTTTCTTTCCTTCTTTCCTCCCTCCCTCCTTCCCTCTGGATGTTTTCTTCCTTCTTCCCTCCCTCCCTCTGAATCCTTCCTTCCTTCCTTCCTTCCCTCCCTCTGAATCCTTCCTTCCTTCCTCCGTTCCTCCATTCTCTTTTTCTTTCCTTCTTTCCTTTTCCTTCTTTCCTCCCTCTGAATCTTTCCTTCCTTCTTCCCTCCCTCCCTTCTCTATTCTGTTCTATTCTACCCTAACCCTACCCTTCCTTCCCATTCCCCCCCCTCTCTCCCTCTCCCTCTCTTTTCCTTCCTTCTTGCCATTGTATAGCCTGAGGTAGGACCCGATGCTTTGTAGTCAATTTGGAAAGCTAAAAATACATTTCCGCTGGCTGCTTAGTCACCACGGACAACCCAACTCAGCAAATGAAGTCAAAACCCTGAAATAAGCCAGCTCCCCAAAACTGCACAATCGAACCGCGCTGCGGAAAGATGCGGACACCGCTAACTGTTCATATTTAAAATTTAAAATTTGAAAACTATTCTCCAAAGCACCTGAGGGCAGAACAAGGAGCAATGGATGGAAACTAATCAAGGAGAGAAGCAACCTAGAACTAAGGAGAAACTTCCTGACAGTTAAAACAATTAACCAGTGGAACAACTTGCCTCCAGAAGTTGTGAATGCTCCAACACTGGAAGTTTTTAAGAAGAGGTTGGATAACCATTTGTCTGAAGTGATGTAGGGTTTCCTGCCTAAGCAGGGGGTTGGACTAGAAGATCTCCAAGATCCCTTCCAACTCTGTTATTCTATTCTATTCTATTCTATTCTATTCTATTCTATTCTATTCTATTCTATTCTATTCCTATTCCTATTCCTATTCCTATTCCTATTCCTATTCCTATTCCTATTCCTATTTCATTCTATTCTATCAACCTATTCTCCTAAGCACCAGAGGGCAGGACAAGAAGCGATGGGTGGAAACTAATCAAGAAGAGAAGCAACTTAGAACTAAGGAGAAATTTCCTGACAGTTAGAACAATTAACCAGTGGAACAACTTGCCTCCAGAAGTTGTGAATGCTCCAACACTGGAAGTTTTTAAGAAGAGGTTGGACAACCATTTGTCTGAAGTGGTGTAGAGTTTCCTGCCTAAGCAGGGGGTTGGACTAGAAGACCTCCAAGGTCCCTTCCAAACTCTGTTATTCTATTCTATTCCAAAATGGAAATCTCTGTGCAGATAAACAGGAGAGAGAGTTCGCATGTAGCATGCCAGACCCCGTGTGTGTTGAGCGTTTATTAACAAATGCAATCCTGCTTTTTCTCCCAGGGCCCTATTACTGCGGGGTTGGCGCAAACAAAGTGTACGGACGCGATATCGTGGAAGCACACTACAAAGCTTGCATGTACGCTGGCGTGGAGATCGGTGGCACCAACGCTGAAGTCATGCCATCTCAGGTATTTGACGATATTGATGCCTGAAAAAAGATTTGAGGGGAGGGCCTGCTTTGTCGTCTCTCACCCTGCCCATTCGGCATATCCTTTGCTGCAACATAGCACATTGATGGTGTTACCTAGTTGGGTCATGAAACGTCTGCAAGAAAGCAACCAAGCTCAGAGTTACTGTATATAAACAGGGAGCAAGCCACATTCACTAGCACTGATGATGTTACCTTGTTGGGTGATTAAATGTCTGCAAGAAAAAAACCAAGCTCAGAGATCAGCAAAGACCCCACAATTAAACCCTGCGCTACAAATCCTCTCTTCTGTTGATAATTAACTGTACCTAATTGAAGGGGACGCGGTGGCTCAGTGGCTAAGACGCTGAGCTTGTCAATCGAAAGGTCGGCAGTTCAGTGGTTCGAATCCCTAGTGCCACGTAATGGGGTGAGCTCCCGTGACTTGTCCCAGCTTCTGCCAACCTAGCAGTTTGAAAGCACGTAAAAAAATGCAAGTAGAAAAATAAGGACCACCTTTGGTGGGAAGGTAACAGCGTTCCGTGCGCCTTTGGCATTGAGTCATGCCGGCCACATGACCACGGAGACATCATCGGACAGCGCTGGCTCTTCGGCTTTGAAACGGAGATGAGCACCGCCCCCTAGAGTCGGGAACGACTAGCACAGATGTGCGAGGGGAAGCTTTCCCTTTTTAATTGAAGAGAGCATCTAGTATGATAACTGCTAACTGTGGGTGGGTTTCCTGCAGCTAGTCGCTTCCCCCGGGTCTGATTTTTTGGTTGAAAGGTTACTTAAGAGATACACCATGGAAACGTTTTTTAATACCACTTTTCTCCATGCGTCCCTGTAGTGGGAATTTCAAGTGGGGCCGTGTATAGGCGTTGAAATGGGCGACCACCTGTGGATGGCGAGATACATTTTACATCGGGTCTGTGAAGATTTTGGTGTCGTGGCCACCCTGGATCCTAAGCCGATGACCGGCAACTGGAATGGAGCTGGATGCCATACTAATGTCAGCACCATAGAAACAAGGCAGAAAGGGGGTATCAAGTAAGTAGTTGAACTTAGAAGTGCAATTAAAGCCGAGAATGGCCCAGTTCGCGAGCCTCCAAGGTGGTTTGCTTTCATCTGGTTTAAAATAAAAGGCAGAGTAGGATTCCCATCCTAATACAGAAGATTCTCAAAACTGAAATACAAAGATAAAACCGGAAACTTTTCATTTAGGTTTAATGGAAAAAACTGGAACGAGCTCCCCCCAGAGATACGGAGGATCCCGGACCTGCGCACGTTTCGCCGTGCTCTCAAAACTTTTCTATTTCAGCAGGCTGGCCTGGCCTAACTCTCCTCTTTTAAATTTTTTAATTCGTGATTTTATAAATTGGGTGTTTTAATTTGTGTTTTGGCCAAAATATTTAATAATTTTAAGGGACTTTTTAATATTTGTATTATCTGTATTTTATCTTGGCTGTTCACCGCCCTGAGTCCTTCGGGAGTAGGGCGGTATAGAAATTTGATTAATAAATAAATAAATAAATAAAAAGACGTGGGGGCAGTAGTGAGTTCCAAGCAGGCCCCAGCTGTTCTTCTTCCTCACTCATCTCAGCCTCCAAAGGCAGCTGCCTCTCCGGCGGCTGGGAAATGTCGGGCGGCCCTGGCTCTATCTCTGCATCTGATGCAGAGCACGCATCAGAACCTTCCCCAGACTCCAGCACTGGCCCAAATTCCTCCCCAACCTCTTCATCGTCCAAGTCTGCCACCAGCTCCGCTGGCGGCTGGCACGCCACAACAGTTATGTGCAGGAAACTCAAGATGGCGGCCGCTCAGAATGACATAATCAAAGCTCTTCTTCCCAGATGAAAAACAGCTGGAGCTTTGATCATGCCGTGTGATGGCCACCATCATGATTTTCCTGACTATGGAATCACTCTGCCTGCCCTTCTCTTTTCCCCTCGCCTCACCGTAGCTCCTAGCTTCTTTCTAGCCAACATTGAGCCATCACTTCCCATCAAAGGCACAAAAAAAAATCAGGACCAATCCATCAGATTGCAGCATAGAAGATTTATTGAAACCCATATAAAAACCATCAAATAAAATTGATGAAGATTCTCTGTCATCCAGATAGAGTCATCTGGAAGTTGAATCGTGGCAACTGGGCTTATTATCAAACCAAGAAGAATTTTTTTTTTTAAATTTGATTTATATGGCGCCCTTCTCCGGAGACTCAGGGCGGCTTACAATGCGTTAAGCAATAGCCTTACTATACTTTTGTATATTTTATACAAAGTCAGCTTATTGCCCGCACAAACTGGGTCCTCATTTCACCTACCTTAGAAAGGATGGAAGGCTGAGTCAACCTTGAGCCTTGGAGAGATTCGAACCTGCAGTAAATTGCAGGCAGCTGTGTTAATAACAGGGTGCGTAGACCACTGTACTATCAAGGCTCAAAATTAGTCCAGTTATCAGGACTCAACTTCCAGACCGGTCAATATTAAATTGGTGCCAGATAAAAGTCAATAAAATTCAGGAATGGACTGTTTGTGGGAATGTAATGATTCTAGGCTGCTAACACGCTTAACTCCACCGCCCTAGCTTTGCTTGCTCTTCAATTATACTTTCTTGTCCTTCATAGGGCGATCGAAGCAGCCATCGAAAGACTAAGCAAACGGCACCAGTACCACATCCGGATGTACGATCCCCGAGGAGGCCAGGACAACACCCGAAGGCTAACCGGCCAGCACGAGACCTCCAGCATCACAGAGTTCTCGGCCGGAGTGGCCAACCGGGGCGCCAGCATCCGGATCCCTCGTCAAGTCGGGCAAGACGGCTGCGGCTACTTTGAAGACCGCCGTCCGTCCGCAAACTGCGATCCCTACGCGGTCACGGAAGCCATTATGCGGACGACTCTACTCGGCGAAACGGGAGACGGAACTGTAGAATACACGGATGAAACACGGCTGCAAAGGGCCACTCTTGAGCCCCCCCCTCAATGATGATGCACGGCCAACCGACCCTCCCCCCTCCCTTCCTAACTCGTCCGCCCCTGTTAGTAAACGTCTGGCAACTTCAGAAAGATTCTCTTTGGGTTCTGTGGTGTTGTTGACTTCCAAATTCTACCTTTTGGTGTGTTAAGATCATACTAATGAGGTTCCCCAAATTAGAACTTTTTAGAAATTGAGTGGGTGGGGCAAACAGAGGGCAAACTTTCAAACTATATATACTGTATTTTTTGGAGTATAAGACGCACTTTTTTCCATCCTAAAAGAGGCTGAAAATTTGCATCTTATATTCTGAATGTAACCCCGCGCTGTGCTCAAAATGGCTACCCGGAAAGGCCCGGAAAACAGCCTGAAAAATGGCTTGGTTTTTGGCTGTTTTCAGGCCGTTTTCCAAGCCATTTTCAGACAGTTTCTTGGGCCGTTTTTGGCCTGAAAACGGCCCAAAAAACTGCCTGAAAATGGCTTGCAAAATGCCTCAGAAAATGGCCTGAAAAGGGCCCGGAAAACGGCCTGAAAAAAGGCCCCCAAACCTCCAGTGTTGGAACAGCCATAACTTCAAGTTGATTGTGTAACAAGTTTGTGTGTGTGAGAGAGGGAGAGAGCGAGCACTAAATGTCAGAAATGGTGTAGGGTCTCCTGCTTGGGTAGGGTGGAGGGTTGGACTAGATGACCTACAAGGTCCCTTCCCGCCTCTGTTAATCTGTTAAATATCTCAATGTTGGGCATCTCTTGAATGCAGCTGCAATTATTCTCTCTTGCCACAAGAGGGAGACAGGTGTGGTTTGCGTTCTCCCTGCATCTTGCCAAGCTAACTTAACATTACCGTTTTGAAGATACTAATGTGCAATTATAAAAAAAATAATACTGTTTCCCCCCCAAAATAAGACATCCCCTGATAATAAGCCCAATTGGTAATAAGGCCAAGCCAGTGGTGGGTTTCAAGTTTTTTTTACTACCGGTTCTGTGGGCGTGGCTTGGTGGGCGTGGCAGGGGAAGGATACTGTAAAATCTCCATTCCCACCCCACTCCAGGGGAAGGATACTGCAAAATCCCCATTTCCTCCCAGTCAACAAGGACTCGGGAGGCAGAGAATAGATGGGGACGGGACCAGTCAGAATTTTTACTACCGGTTCTCTGAACTACTCAAAATTTCCACTACTGGTTCTCCAGAACTGGTCAGAACCTGCTGAAACCCATCTCTGGGCTAAGTGCTTATTTCAGGGTTCAAAAAAAAAAAATACAAGACAGGGTCTTATTTTCGGGGAAAACACAGTAATAATCAGGGGATCTCATTTCTGGGCATCCAGGGAAGATTCGGAATGGGTTCTTGGTTGAAACTGGGAGTATTGAGTTTTCAAGGCAGCTGTGAAGCCGAGCCAAGTAGGAGTTCGCAGTCCGGTACGTCGAGAATGTTATGTGGAATCCCAAGTGTTTGGACCATGATGGACTTCATAGAGAACATGACCAACTCTCCTAATATCAAGAGAGTGGTCCCTAAATAGACTACAAAAACCTGGAGGCTGTGTTGGGACTATTTTTCTCAGGTTGGTTGCTATTAAAGCTGCACCGATAGAAGGAACCCAACAGCTTCTCTTGGACGTCTTTCAGAATCTTCACCTTGATGGTCTTCTACAGCCAGTAGACCTTCCTTCCTGAGTCACCAAGGAGGCAGCGGATTACTTGTGAATTTTTTGGGGAATCCGATGCCACGAGCAAATCACCAGGTTGGACACCTGTCGATGCTGCTCTCGGTGCCTTGAATCACCCGACTGGATTGGCCGAAAAGGGCTCGAGCTGCTTGACAGCTTTGGTCTTCCCACCTGTGAAATGGGCATAAAAATATTTACCTGTTTCATAATGAACCGCTGATTCATTGCTCGCCTTACCGGTTTTCTTACTCACAAATAGTATTTGATGACTTTTTTTCGTAAGAAAAACCTGGGCTTACACATGCATTCCCCTTCTGGCTTTCCCTGTAGGACTTTAAAAAAAAAAAAAAAAGTACGAGTTTTTTGTTTTATTTGGACAGGAGGAACAAATTGTTACCGAATCAGAGAGTTGAGTAATTTGTAGTTTAAATGAAGCATCTGCCAAGAATGCTGCTTCTAGGGCGAAGAATAACATTTACGATCAGCAAAGGCAGAAGAAATATTGCTGGCTGGTCTTGAGCATCAAACCTAACCAAGATCAAACTTGGCTTCAGCTCTTGGATGGAATAACGTCAATTAACCACCTAAAGTACATTAGGAATCTGAAAAACAACCCATACTCTTATCATTTCTTCATCCTAAGCTCCACAGCTTTTTTAGGAAGTCCAAATGCATCCATCATCCTTGAAAAAATTTGGAATCTTTGCTTATCGTGTTCAGAGGCATCCTGAAATTCCAGCCTTGATGCCTGGAGAACTACAATCCTTTTGATCTGACGTCAAGAACAGGTCCTTCTGATGAGTCAACGCAGGCCTGATTCTCCTGGGTCATGGTCTTGTGGGAGATGACATGTCCAGATAATATCTTCTAATTGTGTCTTCTCCTGGTGAACTTTCTGGTTCCTTTAGATCAGGGGTCTCCCACCTCGGCAACTTGTGGACTTTAACTCCCAGAATTCCTCAGCCAGCTTTGCTTCGTGGAATTCTGGGAGTTGAAGTCCACAAGTCTTAAAGTTGCCAAGGCGGGAGACCCCTGGTTTAGATTATGAAATTTCTATCCAACAAGGAGAGAAATTTGAAGCATCTTCCCCCCGCCCCAAACTGATAATGCCACCTGGTCACCTCACTTTGGAGATGTTTCCAAGGTCCTGGCAGAACTCCCGGCCTCCAGGATGACCCAAAGCATTGACGAGGAGATCCTTCCCTCTCACCCTTCCAAATTAAAATTATTCCTGCAGTAACACCTGCCCCCTAGGAAGAAAAAGAAAAGAAAAAAGGAAGGAAGGAAAAGAAAAAGAAAGAAAGAAAGAAAGGAAAGAAAGAAAAAAGGAAGGAAGGAAAAGAAAAAGAAAGGAAAAAGAAAAAGAAAAAAGGAAGAAAAGAAAAAGAAGGAAGGAAGGAAAAGGAAGGAAGGAAGGAAGGAAAAGAGAAAGAAAGAAAAGAAAGAAAAAAAGGATGGAAGGGAAAGAAAGAAAGACTAGGGGAGACATGATAGCAGTGTCCCAATATCTCAGGGGTTGCCCCAAAGAAGAGGGAGTCAAGCTATTCTCCAAAGCACCTGAGGGCAGGACAAGAAGCAATGGGTGGAAACTCATCAAGGAGAGAAGCAACTTAGAACTAAGGAGACATTTCCTGACTGTTAGAACAATTAACTAGTGGAACAACTTGCCTCCAGAAGTTGTAAATGCTCCAACACTGGAAGTCCCAAAGATGTTTTGGTTTTTTTTTCAAGAGGCAAACTGGACTTTCTGCTTTTTCTTTGAAGACGTTTCGCTTCTTCTCTAAGAAGCTTCTTCAACTCAGAGCTCAGAGCTGAAGAAGCTTCTCGGATGAGAAGTGAAAGGTCTCCAAAGAAAAACCAGAAAGTTTTGGGATAACCATGACCTGGACTGAGAATCTCCGTAGACATCTGACGTTGGGAATTTTTAAGTAGAGATTGGGCAGCAATTTGTCCCAGATGATATAGGACCTCCTGCTCGTGCAGGAGGTTGGACTAGAAGACCTCCAAGGTCCCTTCCAACTCTGTTATTCTGTTCTGTTATTTATTTATTGTATTTATTTATTGGTTCGATTTATATGCCGCCCTTCTCCGGAGACTCAGGGCGGCTTACAATGCGTTAAGCAATAGCCTTCATACTTTTGTATATACCTGCTTAGTAGGGCTTTCGCCCCTCTCCTAAGCGGTGTTCTTTTTTATACAAAGTCAGCTTATTGCCCCCACAATCCGGGTCCTCATTTTACCTACCTCGGAAGGATGGAAGGCTGAGTCAACCTTGAGCCTGGTGAGAATTGAACTCGTAGTAATTGCAGGCAGCTGGTGTTACTTAACAGTGCTTTAGTCTGCTGCGCCACCAAGGCGCTGTTCTGTTCTGTTCTATTTGGCCTGTTTCTTCTTCTCAAAATCTCCCAACAAATAGACGTCATCTTCCAATACTACCCAAGTACTTACGCAGCAAGGATTACATTCTTCGACCAGATGCTGTCTAGCTTTTCTGACATCCAACATTTCCAGTGGTACACCTATTTTAAAAAAAACAGAGCCGAGCAATGTTCGTTTTCCAGCAGGCCTCAACCCTGTGATTTGCAACGCTTTAATCTGTCTCCCTCTTCCTACCCTCGCTTTCAAATAAGGAGAACAGGTTTTCCCCAGCCTCGATTCCAAACAGCCAATTAAATTAGCTGTTATTCCCCTTTACTTAATCGTGGCTTCCGCAGTTGAAGTAATGTTAGACTTTGGACTGAAGGCTTGGTGGCGAGATAGCGAGAGGCATATATATATATATATTCATTTACAAGCGTGTGCCCTTTCCAACTGAAAACGGATGATACTTTTCCCGTATTCCTGGTGGATGCTAGAAGGGGGGCGGAGGGGAGAAGAAGAATTAAGAAAACAGCCTAGAATCGGAGCTTCGCAAACTGCGAAAGCATCTTCTCAGCTCCAGGAGAAACCTGACATTTCTTCAAAAGATTAACACCTCCCTCTTTTCGCTCAGAAGAGCTGTGAAAAATCTCAGTGGGAAGGCAAAAAAAATAAAAATAAAATAAATGACATCGCCTATCGTCCTTCCCGGGATGTGGTGGCTTAGTGGCTAAGACGCTGAGCTTGTCGATCGAAAGGTCGGCAGTTCGGCGGTTCGAATCCCTAGCACCGTGTAACGGGGCGAGCTCCCGTGACTTGTCCCAGCTTCTGCCAACCTAGCAGTTCGAAAGCAGGTAAAAAATGCAAATAGAAAAATAGGTGGGAAGGAAACAGTGTTCCGTGTGCCTTTGGCGTTGAGTCATGCCGGCCACATGACCACAGAGATGTCTTCGGACAGCGCTGGCTCTTCGGCTTTGAAACGGAGAGGAGCACCGCCCCCTAGAGTCGGGAACGACTAGCACACATGTGCGAGGGGAACCTATACCTTTACTTTACTGTCCTTCCTACACGCAGATCCTTCTGAGCGGGCTACAAAATAATCATCATCATCACTTTCCAACTCATTCTGTCCTTCAAAGAACTTTTAAAAGACGACGGCGAGGTACCGATGGCAAACTGTGTGGCTTAAGAGGCAGCCCCTGCTGCCTTTTGGTTGGGATTTTCACCCCTCCCCTTAGCTAGATGAGTTATTTTTTTCCCCCACGTTGCTGCAAACAAACACAGTCTGTCTTGACTGAATTTCAACTGTTCAACGTTTTCGCTCCTGTTGACCGCCAACGGATTCCAGGAAAATGAGTCAGGGCTTCCGCTGAGCCAGAAGTGGAGATCTTGGTTCCCTAATCACTTCCCTGCACTGTCGGAAGTTAGCACCCACCTCTCTCCTAGAAATATTTTAGGAAATATTAAAACAGCAGAATATTTCCCCTAAAAGGGAGGCAGAAACTCAGCGCCCCCCCCCCCACACCTTTGTCAATGGGCCATTAAGGCCTGGGCCAGCCTATTCTACCTAACAAAGATCTACCTCCTTCCAGCAGAGCCACAGCAGGAATTGCCTAAAGCCCCTTTCATTACATCATCACCCAGCAAGAGTCAACCAAGCTCAAAAATACAACCTACAATTACCCCTGCATGGCCCCATGGGAATCCGACAACCAATCAGAATGCAAGCTCAAATTCAAAAGCCCAGAGAGGGCATAAAACCCACTAGGAGTGGGCTGCTGGCGGTTCGGGAGAACCTCTAGCGAAAGTTCTGTGCAGTTCGGAGAACCCCCAAATCCCAATCCTGGCTGGCCCTGCCCACCCCTCCCCTCCCCTCCCCTCCCAGGAGTCCCCACGCGGCCCGTTTTGGATGCAGGTAAGTGCGGGGTGCACATGGAGGCTCAGAGAGGGCGAAAAATGGGCCTACTGGAAGTTCGGGAAGGCTCTGGAGACTGTGGAGGCTGTTTTCGCCCTCCCGGAGGCTCGAGAAAAGCCTCTGGAACCCGGGGAGGGCAAAAATGCCCCTCCCACTGTGGTGCAGGAGGCCGACTAGGCCACGCCCATCCAGCAACCAGGCAGAGAACCCCTTGCTAAAATTTTCGAAGCCCACCCCTGTTGACGACCCTATCTAACCATCTCATCCTTTGCCACCCCCTACTCCTTCTGCCTTCCGTCTTTTCTCAAGCTCCGGGTCTTCTCCAAGAACTCCTCTCTTCTCATTTGGTGACCAAAGTATCTGAACTTCAGGAGCTCTCTTATAATAGAACAGTGCAAATCACGTCGCCTCTTTTGATTCAGAGGTTGGTCAGGTCCAGAACCAAAAACGACACTTGGAGACTGACTTCCAAACTGACTTATCGTTTCACAGCCTGAATAAAACCTGGCCAGAATAAAGACTCCATGATCTGCATCTAGAATACTCTTTTTTTTACGACCCTGTAATTTCTTAATTCGGGGTAGAGCCTGGATGGAGCTGAGCATTTGCTGGCCGGATGCCCTTCCTGACGCCATGCTGAGTTCACAGCAGATATTATTTTTTTTTCTCTGTGTGCCTTAGAAGAGAAATATCTGCAGCTACCTAGGATTGAACCCTCAACCTTCCGAACGGGAGGCTTTCCCTCGTTCGGTATATTCGTTTTTATAATGCAAATTCAGTCTCCGAGTGGCACCGCTTGCCAGTTTGCCAGACCATATGATGGGCGCGAATATATGTGCTGAACAAAACAAGAGATAAGAAAATCTTTTAAGGCTGGGTCTACCTATGCCTCACCTGATTTAACCCGGATTAAGCCATTTTCTGGGTCTGAATAGGGCAATAAACCATAACCATGGGGTAGATTCGCACAACACTAATGCCTCCCTCTCCCCCAGGATAAAACGACATTTGTGTGGGCGCAGCTTGTGGATAATTGGCACCCAGAGTCCACGAATTAATGAAGTGAACAAATTAATGGGCGGAATGCTTTTTACTCTTCATGTAATTACTACATTCAGTTTGTATTTCATCTTTCTCTTCAAGACACCGTGCTTCTCCTTTCCAGCCTCACAACAACCCTGTGAAGCGGACCAGTCCCAGAGACAATAATAGGACCAAATTAACTCGGGAGATTTGAGCTAGGACCTGATTTGGAAGAAAAAATAGATTTGGGGTGAGCCATGACACCCCCAAAAATGTCCCTCTCCTTTTTAAGCACAGCCTGCTCTTATCTGTTGGCCTAGCTGCCCTAGCAGGTAGGAGTTCAACCGATCAAGCTTCACTCAGGACCAGGGAAAGGTACCAAATGTGTCATTTCTCATTCTGATTTACTCCCTTGAGTAGCCTTTTCCCCCCTGCGTTTGTCTTGAGCGCGGCTGGGGATGATGGGTCCCCGTCGCTCCGATGTTCCACCTGGAAATCTCTACCTGGAGGTGTTGGCCCCGTCGGTTCGCCTTTCCAAGTCGAGCAAAGCCTTCCCTTTTTTTAAAAAAAAATTTGATTTATATGCCGCCCTTCTCCGGAGACTCAGGGCGGCTTACAATGCGTTAAGCAATAGCCTTCATCCTTTTGTATATTTTATACAAAGTCAGCTTATTGCCCCCACAATCCGGCTCCTCATTTTACCTATCTTAGAAAGGATGGAAGGCTGAGTCAACCTTGAGCCTGGTGAGATTTGAACTTGCAGTAATTGCAGGCAGCTGATGTTAATAACAGGGCTTTAGTCTGCTGCACCACCAGGGCATTTTTTGTTTTTCATTTTTAAACACTTTTCAGGGTTTACCCTCCCACCCCCGGTAGATCTCCATCCCTCCCCTCGAAACCGGGACCTTCATCAACCCCCTTCTCGACCCGACAGCGGGGATGATGGGAGCTGGAATCCGAAGCATTCGCTTGGGGAGAGGCTTGCCTTGCTCCAAGCGCGCACACCTCTCGCTTAGCCAAGCGCAAGACAGCTGGCACAGCTGATTCCGCCCTCCACCCCACCCCCGAAGCGGTTTGGGGCTGGAAGGGGGGGTGTTAAAGGGGAGGGGACAGGGGAGGCCCCTGGAAGGGGGCGGTGCCCTCGAAGCCCCGCCCCCGAGGCCGCAGGTAGAGCGAAGGGAACCGAGCTTGCGGATTCCGCAGTTCAGGTCGGGCAGGAGCCAGAGAGCAAGAGAGAGCGCGCGGCGCGTAAAAACGCAGCCACCCCCGAAATAAGGAAAACGCAGCGGAGCGCGGAGCATCCCAGCTGAGCCAAGCCTTTTTCTCTCTCCCCACCCCCCTAACTCTCCACTTCCCCTCCCTCTTAAGTCTGGGCCCGGCGATGGGGAAGGTCCAGCTCTTCGAGATCCGCTTGAGCGACAGCCGGGTGGTCTACAGCCCAGGCGAGCCCCTGGTCGGAAGCGTCACCGTCCGCTTAGCCGGAGCTCTCCAATATCGCGGTAAGCTCTGGGTGGAAAAAGGCGGAGGAGACGCGCTCTCGTTGCACCTGGCCCCGGGGTGGGTGGGTGGGCTCAGAGGGGTTCAGCCCGGCTTCCGATGGCCTGGAGATGGAGACTGGAGGTGTGGGCGTTCCTCCCTCTCTTCCCCCACCCCCCTGCAAGACGAGGAGAGGACCCCCACCCACCCCATTCCCCAACCCTGGCCAAGGGTCTCTGCGGTTGGAATTTTGCACCTCTGATTGGGATCTCAAAGAAGGCAAGGGAAGGGCCTCTTGAAGTCTTCTGGGGGAGGGCGCCTCGAAGTCTTCCTCCCCAGGGGAAGCATCTTCCCCGATTTGGGGTTCAACCCAATGGGGAGGGAAGGTGGTGGTGGTGATGGAGACCCCCCCCCGGAGACGGCTTCTTCTTGTGTGAAATAACGAAGCTCTTCTGGCACCCGGAGAAGGCCTTCCGTCTGGCCAAAGCTGTAAGTTCGAAACCTGTTTCCTGTCTGAAGCAAAGCTAGGGAGAACAGCACTTGCAGGAAAAAAGAAAACACTAATTTTGGCTAAAAGGGTGTGTGTATGTTCTCCTAGGGAATTAAGGCGTGACACCGGTTCTTTGCTCTGGGTGGGTCAGCCCGTGGACCCTGTAACGCATTCGTGACCGGGAGGGTTAGACTGAAACCTGGTAGCCTTTTATTATTCCGCGAATAGCAAAAAATGGCTTTCTTTTGTTGGATTGAAGCTCTGTTGCAAATCCCAAAGGACACCTGGATGACTTATAGCAGTGAGTGCCCCCTCCACCACCAACAACAACCTGTTGGGCACCGGAGACTGGTTTCGTGGAGAGAGGTTTTTCTGTGGACCGGAGGGGGCGTGGTTTCGTGGACTGCCTGCATCCCACGGATGGGGCTTTGCTTGTTTACTCGGCCCGGTTTCTGGCATGCTGTGGCCCGGTGCTGGTCCACAGATGGGGGGGGGGTTGGGGGGACCCCTGGTTTACAGAACTGCAATAAACGATTCAATCTTCTGAATGTATAAAAAGGTAACGACTGTGCTAGTCGTTCCCGACTCTAGGGGGCGGTGCTCATCTCCATTTCAAAGCCGAAGAGCCAGCGCTGTCCGAAGACGTCTCCGTGGTCATGTGGCCGGCATGACTCAACGCCAAAGGTGCACGGAACGCTCTTCCCTTCCCACCAAAGGTGGTCCCTATTTTTCTACTTGCATTTTTTTTTACGTGCTTTCGAACTGCTAGGTTGGCAGAAGCTGAGACAAGTCACGGGAGCTCACCCCGTTACACGGCACTAGGGATTCGAACCGCTGAACTGCCGACCTTTCGATCGACAAGCTTAGCGTCTTAATCGCTGAGCCACCACATCCCCCATCTGAATGTATAAGATAAGCCTTTATCAAGCTACAGAGAGTCCTCAACTTACGTCCAAAATTTCTCGTGCTAAGCGAAAACTGTGGTTCGGGGAGTTTGGCTCCATGGGCCGACCTTTCCTGCCCCCGTTGTTAAGTGAATCACTGCGCTTGTTCAGTCAATAACACGGTCGTGAAGTGAATCTAGCTTCCTTGTTGACTTGGCTCATCAGAAGGGGATCATGTGACACCAGGGATGCTCTAACCGTCATATATACGAGTCCGTTCCCAGGCGTCTGAATTTTGATCATGGGACCGCGGGGAGGCTGCAACAGTCGTAAGTGTGAAAAATGGTCCTAAGTCCCTTTTTTCAGCGCCGTTGTAACTTCAAACGGTCACTAAACGAACTGCCGTAAACCGAGGACTATCTGTGTATTATTATCCCACCAACCTCTGGAAGAGCTGTGCTGTTCGTTGCTTCTGGAAGGCAGTTGATTAAACAGTGTTGGAAGGGACCTCGTAGGTCATCTAGTCCAACCCCCTTTTCGCCCAAGCAGGAGACCCTACACCATTCCTGACCGATGGCAGTCCAAGTCTCTTCTTGAAAGCTTCCAGGGATGAAGCTCCCACAACTTCTGAAGGCAACTTCTGTTCCGTGGGTGGATTGTTCCGTCAGAAAAATTCCTCCTTATTTCTAGGTTGAATCAATCAATCAGGATAGAGCTGGAAGGGACCTTGTAGGTCATCTAGTCCAACCCCCCCTCCCTCCGAGCAGGAGACACTGATGGTTGCAGTCATTGGGATTGTTCCAGTCTTGAATGTCACTTGGTGGCAAGCCGTGAAAGCTCTCTGTAAGCCATGGCTTCCGTCGACTCTTCCAACAGCACTTATGACTCATAAACCAGCTTCTTCGGGGTGATGATGGCCCTTCATTCAACGCCACCAAAACAGACAGACAGACTTTTTTTTTTTAAAAAAAAAATTGATTTATATGCCGCCCTTCTCCGGAGACTCAGGGTGGCTTACAATGCGCTAAGCAATAGCCTTCATACTTTTGTATATTCATACAAAGTCAGCTTATTGCCCCCCACAAACTGGGTCCTCATTTCACCTACCTTAGAAAGGATGGAAGGCTGAGTCAACCTTGAGCCTTGGAGAGATTCGAACCTGCAGTAATTGCAGGCAGCTGTGTTAATGACAGGGTGCTTAGACCACTGTGCTATCAAGGCTCAGTTAACACAGTTAACTTAGTCTTAGTTCAGTGTTCGCTTCTTCTTTGGCCATCCAGATCCTCCAAGCCTCCAGGAAGCGGGAGAAGACCATGATGGTATCATCAACACAACCAGGGAGATGACATCAGCTGAGCCTGGATAATACTGAATCCTAAATTGTTATAAGATGAACTTTTCACAGCGGGGCTTCCTGGGGTCATTAAATAAGATGGAGAAAGGAGACTTTTTTTTTTTTTTTTGCTTTAATTTATATGCCGCCCTTCTCCGGAGACTCAGGGCGGCTTACAATGTGCTCAGCAATAGCCTTCATCCTTTTGTATATTTATACGAAGTCAGCTTATTGCCCCCACAATCTGGGTCCTCAATTTACCTACCTTTGAAAGGATGGAAGGCTGAGTCAACCTTGAGCCTGGTGAGATTCGAACTTGCAGTAATTGCAAGCAGCAGTTCTTAATAACAGTGCTTAGTCCACTTGGCACTAGCTGTCTAAAATCCCTTTGGATCCAGGGAAGTCCTCGTTAAGGAGGAGTCTCACCCCAGTCTGCCAGCAATGTCTCCTCCTCCGTGCAATATTAAAAGTTCTCCAGATCCAAGGAACTATTTCTCTTGGTTGCCCGAGAGAGCAAGGATCCAGCCCGCAGGTGGCAGGAGATGTCTTAAAAGGTCTCCTTTCCACTTCATGACGTGGCCGAGGTCAAAAAGAACTTCAAGGAACATGACAAGGATTAGAATAAGGGCCAAGATAAAATCCATCCCTGCTCAAGTCTTTAAATTTAGGACAGGGGGTCTGCAACCTTCAACAGTCAAAGAGCCATTTGGACCCGTTTCCCACAGAAAAGAAAACAGCGGGAACCACAAAACCTGGGTGGGCGTGGCGATCTCAACGTCACTCACTTCCACCGGTCACATGACCCCCCTAGCCACGCCTACCCAGATTTTGTGGCTCCTGGTATTTTCTGTGAGAAACAGGTATCTCTCTCTCTCTGTCTCTCTCTCTCATATCTCTGCCTCCTTCTGTCTCTCTTTCTCAGGCTAGGTGAGGAGTGACTGGAAGGGGAAGGCGAGGGGCGGGGCCAGCCAGTGGTGGGGCTCAGCCAACAGAGAGCCACAGCAGGGGGGGACGAAAGAGCCGCATGGGGCTCCAGAGCCGCAGGTTGCCGACACCCGCTCTAGGGCAACATTTTAGGGCTACAGAACTTTGGATCAGAAGGGAACATAAGAGCCGAGGTGGCGCAGTGGTTAAGAGTGCAGTACTGCAGCTACTTCAGCTGACTGCTAGTTCAGCAGATCAGCGGATCAAATCTCACCGGCTCAAGGTTGACTCAGCCTTCCTTCCTTCCGAGGTGGGTAAAATGAGGACCCAGATTGTTGGGGGCAATATGCTATTTAGTATGCTGTCTTTGGTGGAAGCCGCCCAGAGTCCCTGGAGAGTGGGCGGCATAGAAATATGACTAATAAAATAAATAAAATCTATCTATCTATCTATCTATCCATCATCTATCTATCCATCTGTCTGTCTGTCTGTCTATCTATCCATCCATCCATCCATCTATCTATCTATCTATCTATCCACCCATCATCTATCTATAAGAGCCGAAGTGGCGCAGTGGTTAGAGTGCGGTACTGCAGCTACTTCAGCTGACTGCTAGTTCAGCAGATCAGCGGATCAAATCTCACCGGCTCAAGGTTGACTCAGCCTTCCATCCTTCCGAGGTGGGTAAAATGAGGACCCAAATTGTTGGGGGCAATATGCTATTTAGTATACTGTTCTTTGGTGGAAAACCGCCCAGAGTCCTCGGAGAGTGGGCGGCATAGAAATATGATTAATAAAATAAATAAATAAACGTCTTCCCACAAGATAGTTGCCGGGGATAGAATGCCCAAGACTTTTTCCTTGTTCTGTTCAGTATTTTTTTTTTCCACAGGCAAGGGTGTTGGGGGGTGTTGAGCAGAAGTAGGACTGGGAAGAAAACCTGTTGACTCAACTGTTGGAACCCCTGCAAAAAAAATTCACAGCGGTCTTTTTTTGAAGGAGCTGGAACACGCCCGTTTCCTGTTTCTACAGGTTCCCCACCAAAGAAGGGAATTTGTGTATCGTACGCATGCAATAGTAGTGAGCATCTGCGTAAGGCATCGTGATCTGTGGATTGTTGGTTTTGGTGTCACGATGTGGCTCTGTGGCTTCTCCGGCTGGTGTGGAGTCACCCATGTGGGGTAGGAATGGAGATTTTACAGTATCCTTCCCCTGGAATGGGGAGGGAATGGAGATTTTACAGCGTCCTTCCCCCTGGAGTGGGGTGGGAATGGAGATTTTGTAGTATCCTTCCCCTGGAGTGGGGTAGGAATGGAGATTTTACAGTATCCTTTCCCCCTAGAGTGAGGAGGGAATGGAGATTTTACCGCGTCCTTCCCCTGCTACGCCCAT